GATGGCGGGCCAGAACGGCAACGGAGGATAATGTGGTGGAAATTGTGAAAAGGACGCATGGAACAACACGACGAGGATCACAGACGCAAAGATGATGAGCGCAGTGGTAGCATGACATATCCGAAATCAAGAAGCAGGATGAGGAGGAACGGGATGACGAGCAACTCTGTCGCAGAGAGCCTCCGAACGCACCCCCTCTGTCACAGAGGGCCTCCGAACGCACCCCCTCTGTCACAGAGGGGGTCCGAAAAACACCCCCTCTGTCACAGAGGGGGGAAATGATCACTTTAATGCGGCTTCTGGATTACATTTGCCAGTGGGCGCGTGGCGCCTGCCATTGGTATCGGTGCGGCTGCAGCTTGCTGCAGTCGCCTGCGGGCACGTGGCGCCTGTCAGCGGCGTCGGCGCGTGGCGCTTGCCAGTGGCACCGTTGCAATTACACCTGCCGCGCGTGCCTGCTCCGCCCGCGGCAGCGTCGCAGCTTCAGCCTGGTCCTGTTGCCGGCGGCGAGCCCGGGGGGAAATGAGAAGGAGAAGGCCTTCTCAGCAGACTCGGAAATCCCCCAGCCTTGCTCCGCGAAGCGCGAAGCGCGAATAACTTCGCGCTCTCGCGCCGCCCCCCCAAAGGGAGAAAAGGAGGACGAGGAGGAGGGGGAGGAGAAACGAGGACCGCGAAGCGCGAAGCGCGAATAACTTCGCGCCCTCGGGGGAGCCCTTGACAAACTTACTGGAAGGCGCGAGAGCTTCTGAGAAGGCCCGCCTTCCGAGAGGGCCTTCTCCTTCTCGCTTCCCCCCCTCGCTCGCCGCGGATTGCGGGCTCGCGTCGCCTGCCAACGGCACGGCCGCAGCTTCAGCTTGCCACACTGGCCTGCGGGCCCGCTGCGCCCGTCAGTGGCACAAGGGCTCCCAGCTTCGCGCTTCGCGCTGCGCGAAGCGCGAAGTGCGAATAACTTCGCGCTCTCGCGCCACCCCCCCAAAGGGAGAAAAGGAGGACGAGGAGGAGGGGGAGGAGGAACGAGGACCGCGAAGCGCGAATAACTTCGCGCCCTCGAGGGAGCCCTCGGGTGGCACCGTCGTGGGCTGAGCCCGACGCATCCGCCCGCGAGCACGGGGCGAGGAGAGCGGCCCGCGCGCCGGGCGCACGAGCAGACAGGCCACCGAGCAGTGCCTCCGCGGAGCCACGCGGCGACACCGACACGCCTCTTCGCGGAGCGCGGTGGCGGAAATGTGTGGCAAAGCGATTGGTATCGGGTGGCCGTCCCCCCCCCCCACGCTCGAGTGCCAATAATACCCACGGGCCAGCGTTAACGCATGTGCTGCCCACATGTATGATGAGGCAGCCGTTCCGAGCAGTGTTCCAATCAGAGCGATGGGGGTGCCATGCGCGACCGCGAGCTCGAGGCGACTAGAGGGAGGCGAACGACAATTTGGAGCAAGGATGTTCACTCTCTGGATCAAAATGCCCTCCGTAAAAGGGGCAGTCAAACTCCTCCTTCTCCTCCTCCTCCTCCTAGCTGCCATCTGGGCCTAAGAGATTGTCAGGGCAGCGCGCGCTCACACCCAGCCATTCCACAGCATGTGGAGGAACGCGTGACTGGGCGGAGGCCCGCATGGCAACAACGGCATGGTTCGGCAAGGACAAGTTCTCTCGCGTGCCGCCCGCAGGTGCGGCCCAAGAATGCCTCCGCCCGACGTCAAGCCAGCTACGACGACTCCGTGCCTGTTGCACGCATGCCAGGAGGTCGCAACAAGCGTCTCTGGACATTCTTCGCCGACTCCAAATGGGACCGCCACCTGGACTCGGACGCGATCCAGCTCTCCCCGACCCAGTGCGAGCCCGAGACCGCACAACCGAACCCACTGACCAGCAGCATGAGAAGCAGCTGGACTTCGCAGACCAGGAGAACGAGACGCAGGGCACGCAGGACCAAGGGGAGCAAAGCACGAAGGACACCACGACGCACGAGAAGCAGCTGAACTCGGACTACCAGAACAGGACGCTGCGCAACACGGACACTCCGACGAAGTACTTCGCAGACACCAAGACGAACGAGAAGCCGCAGAACTTCGCTAACCAGGACGGGCTGCCGAGCAACCAGGCCGCCAGGAAATACGAGGGGCAGCTGAGCTTCGCCCACGACAGGGTGGACCACGAGGACGTGAAGCACTGCCTGGAGATGCTCGCCGAGATCGCCGAGAAGAGGGACGACTGCACGAAGACCTACGAACAGTACGGCAACGACCTCAAGCAGGACGTGCACGAGGATCCTCATCACCTGGACTTCTCTACGGCGCCCACCGACGTCTTCGTTGGCCGCGAGGCCGCGAGGTCGAGGAACCGAGGCACTACCACACCTCAAAGTCCGGGGACGAGAAGATGGAGCAAGAGAGCTTCGCAGGCCTGGAGAAGGCGCCGGGCACGCACCCCGCGACAGACGAGGAGAACTTTGCTGACCAGGAGGAGCTGCCAAGCACCCAGGCCACCACGACCTGCGAGGAGCAGCCGAGCTTCGCAGACCAGGAGGAGGAGCGGAGCGAGAAGGACACCACGACGCACGAGAAGCAGCCGAGCCGCGACGACCAGGACGCGACGCTGGACAAGCAGGGGCGCGAAGCTGAAAAAGGACTGCGCTGCGACGCTGGGCAAGCGGCAACGCGAAGATAATCGAGACGCCTCCTACACCCTGCGAAATGCTTAAGAAATCATGGGTTAAGAAATTCATAATCTCAGAACTTGAATAAAAACCCAAAATTTCCATTCAGATCTTAGGATTTACATTGAAACATGAAGAATAATCGAGACTCTGGCCGAAAATTTAAGTTTTCTTAAGCATCGCCTAAGGTGTGCACTTACCAGGCGGAGACGCTGGACACCCCGAACACAACGAACTGGCACTACGACGACCAGGACGGGGACGAGATCCCGAGCGGGTTCCCAGACCTCGTATACGACATCGTGGCGATGCGCATGGCGGAGGGCTACGCAGTCAAGGAGTCGTGGCTGTACGCCAGGCTCGACGAGTGGCTCGAGGAGACAGTCACGGCGTGGACCAACATCCGAGTCTTCGAAAAAAACGGCGACGGGAACATCGTGAGAATGATCGGGCCACACGGAGTAATGCAGGGAGACGTGGACAGCGAAGACGAGAAGCAGAGCGAAGCCGAGAGCACGAGCGACACAGAGAGTCGAGGCGGAGTGAGGCCAAACCTCGATACGTGGTCGCTCTCCTCCACCCGCTCCTCCTCTCCCTCGCAACGAGGCAAGCAACCGCAAGCGGGCAGCAGGCGAGATAGCACCCGTGAGGGTGGGTGCTACCCCGCCCAGGGCCCCCGCGTGGGGTAAACGGTGCGGGAAGGGCCCGAGTGTCTCCTGGCACCTGCTCCCCCAGTCAATAAAGTGAACACAGCTAGGCCGTGCTAGATACGCAGCTACTGAGTGTAGCAAGAGCGTCAGACACTCAGACATCGGCCCGACTGCTCGATCGATCGATCCTCCTCCTCCTCCTTCCAGGGATGAGCTGGAGACTCGTCGCCGAGAAGGCCAAACGTGTAAGCAGAACGCAGGACGACGAACCTCGATCGTATGCGCACAGGAGGCCGCTATAAATCAGCGCCATACCTGGCCAGGGCCACGCTAGGCCCGAGCATGGTGTCCACGCGCTCCTGACAGAGACCAAACGGGCCTTGAGGGCCCCAAGGGACCCCAAGACTGCCCCACAGGAGGCTAAGACAGCCTCAAGATGGCCCACGTAAGCTCCATGGGAGTGAAGACGAAAGGTGTTGATTACATGTGATGACCTTCGTCCTGCTCCTCCTCCTCCTCCTCCTCCTCCTCGTCCTCCTTGTCACCGTCGACCTTATCATCCTCATCATCCCCAGCAAAGCTCTCCCAACCCTGAAAGCATGACGAATCGCATCTTCGACATGGTGGTCCCCAGAGAAATCCCAACCCATTCCCCAGGCTCGGTTTCTCATCCCGATTTGTTGTTTGACGGTCCTGGGGCATGGCGAGGGCCCTCAGAGACCGGAAACTGTCAAAACACTTCCGTCGTGCCCTTTTATTTCACGACGAGAACATGTCTGCGTCCGTATACGGTTGGTGTCGCAAAGATAGCGTGCAACACCGATCTCCGAAAAGCACGCTAACCCCCCCGAATGGAAGATCCGAGCGTAAGCTTCAATGCTGAGCGCGTTTTCTCGGAAATATCTGGGGGGAAAGCGTGCACATCTTTTCGGTGGTAGCGCGCCACGTCGCTTCTTCTGTACAGTCGAGGCATTGACCAAAGGAACCCTAAATAAGGAACGAGGCCGCCATTCTTCGTAAGTTAAACTTCGATTTCCAATCGAAAACTGAAGGGAAACCTTAGGCAAGGTGTGGAACAATTAAGGAACATCGAGCCCCTCCCCAACGAAAAGGGTTCCTTCTTCAGAGCCCCGACTGTACGCACTGTCCCCAGTGTGGGGGACAGCGTGCAATTCCCGGGGCAGTGGCGCCACATCGCACGCTCTCCTTGCAACGCCAACCGCATGCCTCCTGTCAGGTGGAGGAGGCTCGGGAGCGGCCAACAGGGGGGTGTCCACGAGGGGTGTGTGCAAATCATGACTGGCGGCATGTGCGCGGCCCAGCGGGGGGGCGAGGGACGTCATGAAATCAGAAGAGGCGCCATGAAATCTGGGGAGACATCGTGGCCCCCGCCATGATATCCCCCCCCCCCTAGTCATCACCCCCCTCTTTTCCGCCCCCGAGGGTTTGAGAATCAGCTCACGTAGCTGATTTTCCCGGCGCCTCCCGGCGCCGGAGGCGGCTATGTATCGAGGAATGGGCCCCTCGGTGGGGCCGAAACCAGCTGCACGCAGCGAACTTCGTAACCCCCCCTTTCCCAATCCCCCCGCCATGAAATCTGGGGGGATATACCATGGCCCCCGCCATGAGATCCACCCCCCCCCCCCTAGTCATCACCCCCCTCTGTTCCGCCCCCGCGAGGCGCGCCGCCCTGCCGCCTCTGATTCTCCATCACCTCCGCGATCTTCTCCTCCTGCGAGCGCTCCCTGTGCTTGCGGACCTGCGGCGGCGGGGGCGCGCCCGAAGCGGCCGCCCCGCGGCGCCGCGGGCGGGGGGCGAGGTGGCGGCACGCGGAGCGGCGGCGCTGGAGAGGAAGCAGACGAGGACCGCGGCCAAGACCGAGCGCGGACACGTCGATCGTCGGTCTTCCTGGTCGTCGCCGCCCTCCTCGTGGTTGGCGGGTCGCGTCGTGCTCGGAGAGCCAGCGGCTGCGGGCCATCTGCGCCTACAGCGACTCCCTGCAGGTGCTCGTTGGTCACCACGTGGAGGCGCCAGGACCGTCGATTGGCTGATGGCCAGGGGTCAGAGGATCCAGGCCTCCAAGATATGGTCCGAGCAGATGGGGTCGAAGGATCGCGCCGCGTCGCGCGACGGCCGGCGTGGACCACGGCCAAGGTCGGCGCCGACAAGGTCCCGCGGCACCCTGGTCATGGCCCACAGTGTTTCTTCCCCCCGATGGGCGGAGCAGACCCGCTCTGGCCACACGAAGTGGATTCATGCCCGCCTTGATGCAATCAAGCTGCTGCAACAAACAACGACGAAGCCCCGTCTTGGCCCCAAAGTGCCTGGGGTGAGCGAGGAGCGCTTGAGGAACAGCCACGGAAGACGGAGGGGCGTCAGGAACAGCCAGCCCCTGCCGAGCCTGAGCAGTTCCTTCATTCACCGTCTTCTTGACCGCACGGCCCGAAACGAACACCCGCTCCCATCTCGCGGTCGGCTCTTTGAGCCATCCGAGGGCCTGCCAGGACAACGGTGGCAGGCGCCACCTGTTCGAGGAAGGCGCGCGCACGCGTGCAGCACGGATTTTGCACCCGAAATGTGAAGCGAAGAATCATCCTGTGCCCTCGCCAGGCTACCTCTGAGGGCCTCGGGGCCTCATGGAAGGGAGAGGGTCAAGCAAGGTGGTGGTGGTCAGGGTGGTCACTGCACAAGGGAATCAAGTCCCGAGCAGAGCAACACGCACCAGGACCGCGACGACACCGACGACGACGACGACAACGACGACGGAGACGAGGCGCTGACGAGGCGCTAACGATCCACAACTGAGTTGAGAAGCGCCGATTTGAGAAAGGGACCACCCTCTGTGGTTCAGTACACAGCACACCTTCTGGGGGTTCGTACACAGCACGTCGTTGAGCGGAGCTGCGGAATGCAGAGCAAGGGATATAGGACGAGGACGAGGAAAGGCAAGAGCAGGGGGCGGGAGAAGGGAGGAGGCGCAAGCGAAGGAAGAGCAGGAGGGGAGAAAGCACGAGCAGGTGGACGCGGGGAGCGCGAGGAGAGGAGCAGGAGGGCCGAAGGAGCGTCGCCCCCGAGACAGCGCCCACGCGTGGAGCGCAGCGCTGCTCCGGCACGGGCACCCGTGGGACCCGAACCGGAGCAGACCTCCTGCTCCTCACGCACGAGCTGGCCCCGGGGGGGGGGCCATTCCCATCGCCCCCCCACTCAAGTCCAGAGAATACCTTCTGAATCGAGGTCTGCCCAGTCCCAATCGAACTCCCACTGAGTTCAACTTATCATCCAATGCGCACTCCGTGACTGTGCGTGTTGGTCCTTTCCTACCGAGTGCACTCGAGCCCTCTGCCGAGTCGCCCCCCTGCTCAAATCCAGAGAATGTCTTCTGAATCGAGGTCTGCCCCATCCCAGTCGAACTCCCACCGAGTTCAACTTACCATCCAATGCGCACTCCGTGACTGTGCGTGTTGGTCCTTTCCTACTGAATGCACTCGAGCCCCCCTCCCCTCGCCCCCCCTTCCCCCTCCTCCTCGTCCCCCCCCTCCTCCTTCTCTTCTCTTCTCTTCTCTTCCCTTCCCTTCCCTTCCCTTCCCTTCCCTTCCCTTCCCTTCCCTTCACTTCTGCCGAGTCTCCGCGCCTCGGCCCGATCCCCCCACGGCTTCCCGGGAGCCGAGGCGCCGCCCCCGGCGCCCCGCGGGAGCACAGAGAGGGAGCAGGGCCAGGTCGGTCGCTGGGCCAGCTGCGCGGCGCGCAGCCTCTTGTGGGACGCACAGGGACATACTAGTACTATATGTCCTCCTTGGAGGCGCGCGTCCGACCCGAACATATAGTATACCCATCTTGTAGTAGATCGTTTCCCGAGCGGGGCGGGCTGAAAGCGCCCGCAACGACACATATACTATAAGATTTCTCGGTGCGCGCGTCGCCCCTGGGGGGGAGACGCACATATAGTATAAGAATGTTGGGGTGACGCGGATCTTGGTGAGTCGGGGGAGCGTCGCGCCACGCCGCCACGTGCGTGACCTTTCCGACGCCTCCGACTTCCGGCGCTTCCGGAGGAGGCGTCCAGTGCGCACGATTGCAAAAAAAAAACCTTTTTGAAGGATTGCAATCCTTTTTGCAATCCTTCGTTCGAGTGGTTTTTATTTGCAATCCTTTTTGCAATCCTTCGTAAACGAGCCGAAACTCTTTCGCGCATCGCCAGTGGGCCTTGCCCGAGACGGACAAGGGCCCCCGAGGGCGGCCCGCGATGCGTTGCTCCAAAGTGGCAAGTGCGGAGGCCGCGCCTCGTCGAGGGCCTCTGCCCTGCCGCGCGGGCCAAGGCCTCGCCGAGAGGGCCTGCGGGCGTCGGTGTCCCCTGGGCGCTGCTGTGGATCCCTGGCGTGCAGGAGGGGTCGCGAGCCGTGGAGAGCTGCTTGAGTCTAGCTCTGGACTCTGACTTGCCGCGAGATGCGGCGATGAATCGGGGCCGATTTTATGAAGCAACTTGTGTCAGCGTTGGTCATCGACTCTCGTGAATGGCCGAACCTAGAACGCATTCAACTCTCCAGCCCAACGGGCCAAGGGCGCGGGCAATATTTATATCCATATCCAGTGCGTTTTGGACTTTCTTGGAAGGGGCGCCGCAAGGCCGAGGCGCACTGGATATGGATAAAAATTTAGCCCTTTGGAGGCAGATTATAATCCATACCTATACGACCACCCTTCGGGTGATAAGGAGGTTCGGGGGGGGGAGGAACCAACGTCTCACTCGATCGGTCTCACTATCGATCTCACTATCGATCTCAGTATCGGTCTCGCTCGATCGATCTCCCTCGATCGATCTCACAATCGATCTCACTCGATCTATCTCACAATTGATCTGACTATCGATCTCACAATCGATCTCACAATCGATCTCACAATCGATATCACATTCGGTCTCACTATCGATCTCACTATCGATATCACAACCGCTCTCACAATCAACGTCATCATCATCATCATCAACAACAACATCAACATCAACATCATCATCACCAACATCATCATAATCGGGACACCGTCCTCATCATCAACACCAACATCATCATCATCACGGTCATCAACATCATCGGGACACCACCATCATCATCATCACCATCATCACATCATCATCATCATCATCAATCATCATCATCATCATCATCAACAGCAGAATCGGGACACAGTCATCGTCATCATCATCGGCAGCAGCATCATCATCGGGACACCATCATGATCACCATCGTTATCATCATCATCAGCAGCATCATCATCATCATCATCATCATCATCATCATCATCATCATCATCATCATCATCATCATCATCATCATCATCATCATCATCATCATCGGGACACCATCATCACCATCTCATCCTCATCATCGACATCATCATCATCAGCATCAACATCATCATCAGCTTCATCATCATCATCGTCATAATCGGGGCACCATCATCATCATTACCAACATCAGCACCAACATCATCATCATCATCACAATCATCATCATCATCACCATCGAGTCGCCATCATCATCAACATCATCATCATCACCATCATAATAATCATCATCATCGGGACGCCATAATCATCATCAACCTCATCTTCATCAACATCATCATCATCGGGACACAATCATAATCAGCATCATCAACATCAACATCATCATACTCATCATCATCGGGACACCATCATCGTCATCATCATATCATCAACATAATCATCATGATCATCATCATCCTCATCATCGGGACACCATCAGCATCATCATCATCATCGTCCTCATCATCATCATCATCATCGTCCTCATCATCCTCATGATCATCATCATCATCATCGGGACACCATCATCATCATATCATCATCATCATCATCGTCCTCATCATCATCATCAGCAGCATCACCATCATCATCATCATCATCGTCATCAGCATCATCATCATCATCATCACCATCACCATCACCATCACCATCATCATCATCATCATCATCATCATCATCATCATCATCATCATCATCATCATCATCATCATCATCATCATCGCGGGACACCGCGGGACACCGGCGGGACACCGCGGGGCACCACCGCGGGACACCGGCGGGACACCGCGGGCCCCGGCCGCCCAGAAGGGAGTCATTTGGTCCGGCCGCGCCTCAGCCACACGGGACACCAGCGGGACACCGGCGGGACACCGCGGGCCCCCGGCCGCCCGGAAGGGAGACATTTGGTCCGGCCGCGCCTCAGCCACAGGAGACTTTTTCTCGCCCGCACGCGCAGCTTCGCCTCGCTCGCACGCACGGCACGCACGAACACGAAACCGAAATCGATTTCCCGGTGGGGGGCTCTCCGTTCCACTTCGATCTCACTCCCTCACCTCCGATCCAGCGCGTCTCATATTTCTTGGGAAGAGAGTCCGAAACTCCAAGACGCACTGGATGTGGATAAAGGCATTGCCCGCAAAGGGCGTGCTAAGATCTCCGGTAACTGGTTCACAATAGTTCTAGTGCACGCGCGCGGGGCCGCCCCTGGTGGCCCCCCGACGACAAACAAAAAAAACCGGCAAGGTCCCGGCAAGTCCCGGCACGGTCCGGGCAAAGTCCTGGCACCAGAGACCGACGACGCACCACAAGGCCTGTGATGTCGTCCTCACCTCGCGCAGCCCTCGATCGCGCGTCGCACCAAGAGGCTTGACGCTTCGCGTCTCTTCCGTCAAGGCAAAGTCCTGGCAAGGTCCTGGCCAGGTCCCGGGCAGGTCCCGGC